ACTTCCTCATGAACAGCCTCCCACAGGCTGGCCCCCTTGGGGCTGCCTGGTCCCAGCCCCCAAGTGGAACCTGGAAGACCCCGCTAGACAAGCACAGACACCCCTTCAGTGAGGCAGGTGATGGACGGGGTGTGCATAGGCTGTTCTCGGTTCCAGATTGGAAGTAGGGTGTGGGGGACAGGAGCTTGAAAGAGAGGGGTTCAGGGTGAATAGCAGGTCTGCCTTTTGACTGCAGCATCATCCACGACAGCATCATGAAGCCACATTGGCCCTGGATGACCTAGCGGGGACTTCCGTTACAGGCCAGAAGCAACCCCCTCGATGTTATTGGATTTTCTGTTATTTGTAGTCAAAATGCCTTCCTAACCGATCTAAGCTCCTAACCTCCAGCTGGAAAAAATATAAATACACTCCAAGATCTTATATGTTCACAGAAGAAGATTTTCCAGAGAAATAGGACGCCTTCTTAAAGACAGGATATGTGTCACACCTTCATTTCAAATAACTTTAAAATCTGCAAGCATTTATTAGAAATACAATAGAGACAAAGCACTAAAGATGTGTAAATCACTTGCAGTTCCATCACCCAGAAATAACAAGGTTAGCATTTTGGTGTGGTTTTTTTTTTTTTTTTCCAGGTTTTTTCCCTATAATTCTAAATTAAGTTGAGCTCACAGCATGTCATTTTTTTCCTTTTTGCTTTTTATTGAATACGTATGTATTATCTCATCACATCTTGGTTTTCACTTAAGATTATACCAAAAATATTTCCTTTGTCATATAAAATTCTTCTTAAACACCATTTTTTAAAAAAAGATTTTATTTATTCATGAGACACAGAGAGAGAGACAGAGACACAGGCAGAGGGAGAAGCAGGCTCCCTGCGGGGAGCCCGACGTGGGACTCGATCCCAGGACCCCGGGATCACGCCCTGAGCCAAAGGCGCTCCACCACTGGGCCACCCAGGTGCCCCAAATTTTTAAGCTTAAGCAACTGGTTTCGTTTGCCTGATACCCTCCCTCGGTCTGTGCTCCTTTCTGATGATCTTCCTCTCACTCTGGTCTGGGCTCAGAGATCAGAGCACCGAGGTATTGAAACTGTGTGAGAAGGGGGCAGACGGGGGCTCTGGGTGCAGGCTCCCCCGGGAGAAGTGCCTATGGGTGCACAGCCATGGCAAAGCCTGCCCTGAGTCTGGTCCATTTGGAGCCCGCACAGGACGGGGCACGGGGAGCTAAGGGGAGGTGCTTGGAAATGTGCAAGAGCAAAGCAGCCCACAGGCCAACAGCTTCCAGGCCCTTGTGTGCAGGCTGGGGACTGGCAGCCAGTGGGGCAGAAGGTTGGTGCGGCCCAAGCTTGAGAGAAGGTGCCTGGAGGCCCCAGGAAGCTTCTGGGAGCCGCTCCGCCTCCAGCACTGGACAAGGGGAGGACAGCTGCCCAGGACCGGGACAGGGACACCCCAGAAAGCTGCAAGTAAGCTCCCGATGATGGGCCTGCAGCTACTCAGCACAGGAGCACATGGCAGCGCTCAGAACAGGCGGAGGAGGAGGGACGCTGCTGTTCTAGACCAGGCCCCCCTCAGCCCAGCTGCCCGCGTTGGCTCCTCCCCCAGCCCCACCCGCCCTCGCTGATTCCCAAGGCTTCCTTCTTCCAGGGCCTTCTGGGGAGACACCAAACCTCAGGATCCCCCACAACCCCTGGCCTCTCCACTCCCCTCCTCCATCGCAGAGGAGAGGCCACTGGGCAGGAGTCCCTTGACCTCCCCTCCTCGGCCTGCAAATGACTTTGCAGCCCCCATCCCATCCCCTTCCTTCCCTCGGGTTTGGGTCCCCCCCATCCAGCTCAGGACCCCCACTCCAGGAATCGCTCCCCGACTTAGACCACCCTGCCCTGCACCATCAGCGTCTCTTCTAAGAACAGCCCACAATCCTCGAGTCCCCTTCAGCCACTGCCCTATATCTCTCCTTGCCTTCCCGGCCCAGCTCCCCTGAAGACCTGTCTACACCTGCTGTCTACACTTCCTGGCTGAATGCTCCTCCCCCAGCCCCTGATCCCTGTCTGGTGAAGGCTCCGTGGCATGGGACCCCCTCCCCAGACTCCCTCCCTGTCTCTGGGCTCCTTTGCTGGCCACCTGCCCCCTGTGATGTTGCACCTCCCTCTCTGACCCCCTCCGCCTGCTCCCAGCTCAGCCTCTCCCTGAGGGTTCATGACCCAACCAGCTCCTCTGCACCCCCAGACCTCAGTCTCCAGACCCATGAAACCAAGTGTCTCCATCTGGTGGGGCTGGGGGGTGTCCTCAGGACCTGCAGCTCCACCCGCCCCTACCTGGTCCTACACTTGGCCTCTCAGGCCACACCCACACCCACTAGTGTCCCCAGCCCTGTCCCGCCCCCCATGCTGTCTGTCCAGCCCTCCACGCCATGCGCATCCCCTCTGCTGCTCTCCACACCCCAGCCCTGGCTGGTCCCTGGCTCCCACTGCTGCCCACAGAGCCCCTCCTCCCCCCACCCAGCCGCCTCCTGGGCCCCTCTGCTGGCTACATCAGGTCACCAACTATTTCCCAAAGCACCACCAGTTTCACTGTGCAGCCTTCTGCTCCTGCTGGCACCCTGCTTGCTACCTGTCCCCAGAAACTGAAGCCCCGCCCGGGGCCACCTCTTCCTGTGCCCACATACCTTGCAAAGCTGGCAGTAGCAAGCTCCTTCCCGGGAGCCTTTGCCAGATGTCCCATCATCAGCACAATGTCTGTCCTCCCCAGGGCGGTGGGGGCTCCCCTGGGCCTGCAGCCCTGACTCTGCCCGCCCCCCCCTGCAGTGATGGCACAAAATCAGCGCCACTGCGGAGTGCTCACTGTGGGGCAGCCGCACTCCAGGCCCTGCAGCCTCCCTCACAGCTGAGAAACGGGGAGGGCCAGGGCAGCTTGTGCCAGGACGCCCCGGGCCCTGCCCCTAACGCCCAGCTCGAGGATTACCAGGGTCCGGGTACCAGCCCCTTGGCCCTGATCCGTGGAACATTCAGCTCCCCTGCTGCTTACCCCATCCAGCCCTCCAGCTCTGCACCCCTTTGACCGGACCCCACAGAGGTCCTGAGAGCGGAACTGGCCCCATCTCCCTGCTGGCCTCCTCTGTCTCAGAGCCAAGGACAGAGGCGTGGGGAGGGGAGCTGGCCCAGCCACATTCCGAAGGGGCAACTGAGGCAGGCCTGCATCGTCCTCCTGTCTTCTGCAGATGCCTCCACCTGGGCTCATAGTCAGGCTGCCCTCAGAGCATCTCCACACATCCCCTCTGTGGGCCTGGGGCCTGGGTCAGTCACAGCCCTGGCCACCCGGACCGTACAGACCTCTCACCACCAGTTGGGATGTGAGGTGGGGAAGGTGATGGACCCCCTCACAGGGTATGTTGGGAGGATTTTATTTTATCTTATTTTATTTTATTTTTGTTGTTGTTGTTGGGAGGATTTTAATAAGAAATCAAGGGGTTGGGATCCCTGGGTGGCGCAGCGGTTTGGCACCTGCCTTTGGCCCAGGGCACAATCCTGGAGACCCGGGATCGAATCCCACATCGGGCTTCCGGTGCATGGAGCCTGCTTCTCCCTCTGCCTGTGTCTCTGCCTCTCTCTCTCTCTCTCTCTCTGTGACTATCATAAAAAAAAAAAAACTTATTAAAAAAAAAAAAAGAAAAAGAAAGAAATCAAGGGGTTAGGATCACGTCTGGCACCAAGCAAATGCTATATAACATCTGCTGTCACTCCTCTTCCTCGGCACCCGCTGCAGGCGTGAGGCTCCTCCACCCCTCATACTTCCACTTGCCCCAAGAGCTCATTTCACCCTGGTCCACATCACCAGCCCCAACCTCTCTTCTACTAGACGCCAGACCTCCCGGGCATCTCCACCCAGACGGCCCAACAGCCCTTCAGATGCCCCGAGCCTGCCCGTCCTGCTGTGTCCCTCGCTCAGGAAATGGAACGACCTTCCATCGGGTCACCCAGGCCTGAAAACGAGGGTCATCCCTGATGCCTCCTTCACCCATCATGCCTGCCCCCACCATCTGGTCCGTCGTTTGGACTGTGTCCCCTCCCCGGGTGGCTGTCCAGACCATCTCCATCACCAGCTCAGGCGTCCAGTGCACTTCCGTCCACCACTCAGCAGCCTCGGGGTCTCGGGGAAATCACTTCACCTCTCTGTGCCTCGGTTTCCCGGACAATAAAATAGGGGTGACCATAGTGCCTTCTGCATTAGCTTGTTTTGAAGATTATGGGAGTAAAATGCACGAAGAGCTTAAGCCCTTGATAAATGTTGGTATTATTCTCCTGCCTGGATGACTCTGCCCCCACCTTTTTTTTAAGACTTTATTTATTTATTTATTCATGAGAAACACAGAGAGAGATGCAGAGACACAGGCAGAGGGAGAAGCAGACTCCCTGTAGGGAACCCGATGTGGGACTTGATCCTTCTAACCTGGCCCTTGCCTTCAGCTTGCCCACAGCATATCCTGCACGCATCTCAGAAAGGTGCCAGTTATGGAGCGCGGACCTCATGCAGGATACTGAGCTCCATCCCTTCGCCACTTCGGCCCCCCCAGGAGACAGGTGTTGTTATCCTCATTTTACAAATGAGGCAGCTGAGGCCCCAGTTCTACAACTGGAGTTAGCCACTACCTCAGAGAACACTGTTGGTATTCGTGTATTGATTCAAAACATTTATTGAGCACCTACTATATTCCAGGCACAAGCTGGGTGCTGGGAAAACAGTAATAAGCCAGATTGGCACAGACCTAGCCCATGTGATCTTTCTGGAACACAAATCTGACCCCTTGAAAATCCTTCAGTGACCACCTCACTGCCCTGGGGATCTAGTTCATATACCTACCTCATCAGGGCATCCTAGGTCCTCAGAAGCCCCCCTGACTACCCTCAGCAGCCCACACGGATCCTCCCCTGCCCACCTCTCCCACCTTCCCTGACCCCACCCTGCTCTGGCACATTGCTGTGGCCTCTTCATCCCATCCCACACCATTCACTTCTCCTCCCCAGCCCCAGGCCCACTCCCATGCCAGCTCCTTGCCCACCTTCTGTCTCAATTTCTTTGCCTAGTTGACTTATCCTCGTCTTTTCAGGTTCCATCCTCAGTCATCACCTGCTCCAAGAAGCCTCCCTTCCTCAACCTCCCAGCTAGGGGTGAGCTCCCAGGAGCCCTGTCTTGCAGCACACTGGCTCTTCAGTGATTTACCTCTCCTCCTGGACTGTGGCTCCTTGAGGGCAGGCCCAGGGATGTAGTCAACTGTGAATAAATCTTCACTCTCTCTCTTTGTTCCCCCCAGCTTCCCATCCACCCATCTATCCATCCATCCATCCATCCATCCATCCATCCATCCATCCCCAACCCATCCATCTTGCTGTGGCCCTAAGGCCCCAGGCCCAGCTCAGTGGTTACAGGTGAATGCACACTGCTGGCACCACGCAGGTGGTCTGTTTTATGTCCCTATAGACACAGGGACAGAGTGAGATGGAGGAGGCACCTGAGCACCTCCTCAGTGCACTGGCTCCTGTGATTGCAGACAGGGAGGCTGGGGCTGCTGCTGTGATCTACCTAGGTCTCCTCCCAAGTCCCTGGGCCTCTCATGGAGTGGGCAGCAGCTCTGGAAAGAGACAACCGGAGTTGGAGTCAATTGGGTGAGTGCCATGTCCTGGCTGTGTATCCTCTCTGTGCCTGTTTCCTCATCTGAAAAATGTTGTTGGTGGCCTGTGAGGGACAAAGCAGGGGACAGTGGACAGAGACTGTCTTCCCTGAGAGCAGATGCTTCGATACCTGACTGGCTTCCTGACACTCCCATCTTGGGCACAATCTGTTCCGTTTCCAAAAAGTTCCAGTAAATTTGGTTTCAGGCCTCCATCTCCAGGTTTCCCATGGGTCAGGGCTCTTTCCTGGAGGGGTTTCTGGGGAGGAGCGCGGCTCCCTCCAGCTGCAGCACCTGCTCACTGAGCCCCTAGCTGGAAGGACGCTCACCCCGCTTAGCCTCGGCCTCCACCTGCGGAAGTGGGGTCACTCCCACCTCGGGGGCTGCCAAGGGTCAAGCCACATGGTGGACAGGAAGGTGTCTGGTCTCAGGGTGCACAGAGGTGGCCCGGCCGGGAGGGTGCCCCTGCTCCCTAGAGGGCGGGAGGGCACAGGAGACCTCCCGTGGAGTGCCAGCCGCCCCCCCCCCCCCCGTGGCCTCCCCGACCCCCCAAGCCCCTCAGGAGCCAGGGGAATGGCCAGGAAGGCCGCTCTCAAAATGGCCGCCGCGGCCACAAGGCCCTTCTCCTCCCCGGGCGGCCAGACCACGGTCAGTCCTCGCAGCCCAGGGGTGCAGTGTGGGGCGGGAGGCGGGGAGGAGGGAGTCAGGGTGGGTGGGGGGCAGGGGAAGAGCCAGGGAGAGGGGCAGGGAGACGAACAAAAGGTCCCTTTGTGGAGCTGCGCAGGGAGAAGAGGGAGCGCATTACCCAATGCCCAGAAGCCATGTTGGTAACAAGAGAACCATTCTCTGCTTCACTTGGAAAACAACTCGGAGCAGAGAGAGACAGGGAGAGATTTAACCCCATGGGCGCGGGGCGCAGGGGCACAGGCGAGGCCACTGTGGGAGGTGGGGAGGGAGCCAGGGCTCGCTAGGGGCCTTCGGCCGCTGGGCCATTTCCTGTCTCCCAGGCCTGGGCTGCGGGTCACAGGCCCAGAGGCCCAATATGGCTGCTTGGCCGAGTCCCAGCAGCCTGTGGACTGGGGACTGGAGCCTGGCCTCTGCTGCCTAGGCCTGCTCAGACGGCTGACCCATGCCTGCTGCAAGCCCCAGGGCCTGGCCCACCCCAACCTCGGGGAGGACTCCCAAGTCCTTACATCACCTTACGGCTTCTTCTGGCGCTAGGGGCTGGTGGGGTGGGGTTCCAAGGCCACCAGCCTCCACTTGGCTCCTGCTGACAGGGAGCACATTTCCTCCTGAGGAAGTCCCTTCCTTGTTGCACAGTTTTGCCTGTTAGAAAATTTTCCCGAAAATTTAATTTAATCTCTTTCATCCATACCCAGCTGTCTCCCCTTCCCCCACTCTCCCCCCAGCAGCCCTGTTCTCAGGCGCCTTAGAGACCACATCTGGTCATAAGGCAAATAAGGAGAAAAGAAGCCATGGTGCCCGGGACGCTTCACATATATTCACTTAATGACCATTGCTACCTTGGGGTCAGCTGGGCTCAAGTGAGCTACAGTCTCCTCTGCTGACTTGTTCTAGAAGCACCTAACACAGAGCCCCACACGGGAGGCACTCCATGGCTAAGCAGAAGAAAGAGGTCTTTCCCTCCGTCCTTCTACAAATAGGAGTTGGGCACCAGTCACGGACCCAGCCCTGTCCCAGCCCTGGGGCCACAGCATTGGATGAAACAGACCACTCCTGCCCTCACCCTGTGGCGATGAACAACAGACAAGTGAAGATACAAGCTAATGTCAGGTGGCCACAGGCTCTCTGATGGCAAACAAAGCAGGGTCAGGAAGGCAGAACGGGTGGACATTAGAAACGGTGGACAGGGAAGGCCCCTAGAAAGGTGTGCTGTTTGACAAAGATCTGAATGAAGAGAGGAAGAATATCTGGGGCAGAATGTTCCAGACAGTAGGGGCAGCACATGTGAAGGACTTGAGAGGGCCTGTGCCGGGGAGTCTAGGAGCAGCCATGAGGCCAGAGTGGTGGGAACGGAGGGAGTGAGGGGAAACAGAGAGGACCAGCATAAGGGGGTCAGAACATAGGGGACTGCTGGAGGAACCCCGGCGTGATGGGGCCCTCAGGGGCTTGGAGCAGGGGGTGCTGTGGCCTGACTGCCGTTTCCACGAGGACGCTGTGGATGCCGTGCAAGGAATAAACCGTAGGGGCACCTGGGTGGCTCAGCAGTTAAGCCTTTGCCTTCAGCTCAGGTGATGATCCTGGGGTCCTGGGATCCAGCCCCATGTCAGCAGGGAGTCTGCTTCTCCCTCTGCCCCTACCCTGCTAGTGCTTTCTCTCTCCCAAATAAATAAAATCTCAAAAAAAAAAAAAAAAAGAATAAACTGTAGGAGGTCAGGGGTGAGGGCTAGAGACCTACCAGGGCTTTTGCCACAGCCCCCCATGCCTTCTGTGCTCCCATCCCTGGCGGCGACTCCCCCCACGTTGCCCACTCTCTCATAAGTATGGTCCAGTCATTCTCTGAGTTAGTGACGACCTGGCACCTGCTATGTGTTAAGATCAGAACAGGCAGGTTTCTAAAGAGAGCAAGGTTGGGACGCCTGGCTCAGTGGTTGAGTGCACTCAGCTCAGGACGTGATCCCGGGATCCTGGGTCTCGCATCGGGCTCCTCACAGGGAGCCTACTCTCCCTCTGCCTATGTTTCTGTCTCTCTCTGTGTCTTTCTAATGAATAAATACATCAAATCTTTAAAAAAAGAGAGAGAGAAAGCAAGTTTACCCTGGGGAGTGGTTCATAATCGTGGGGTTGCAGGCCCCTACGGTGGAACCAATGGAGGGTGAACCTGGCCTGTGGTCACCCAGCTTGAAGAACAAAGCCTCTTCTTTGGGAAGTTTTTAAAAGCTTCACAGAGAACTCTCAGGACACTGACCCCCATGAGCCCCATGGTGCCAAGATATTACAAACAGTCCAGCAAAGCAGGGGCTCAGTGGCCCACCCCCCACCTCCGATGGGTCCCAGGCATCCCAAAGCCTCAGGTTCCTCATCTGTAAAACCACACACACCTCACAGGTTTTTGTTTTGTTTTGTTTTGTTTTACACCTTACAGGTTTGATGTGTGCATAAGAAGGCAGCACTTCATTCTTTGGGGAGGTGCGGGGGGAACGGGGGTGGGGGGCAGTGGTGGAAACTGAGCCTCAGGGAGGTGAGTGATGGCTCAAGGTCACCAGCTGGGTCAGGGCAGTGCCTCCCTACCCTACTGCCAGGGCTCTCCCTGCACCCTCCATGTGTTCCCAGATATGGGAACTGTGGACACCTCAGCTCAGCCCCAGTCAGGTGCCTGGAGCAGTAGGGTTATGGCTACAGACCTAGTGACAGTATCAGGGGACCCTCCAACAGCAGACAGGCCAGCAGGCAGGGCAGGAAGTCTGCATGGCCCAGAGGGACAAAAGCAGGACGGACTCCAGAGTCCCAGCTGAACAGAAAGGAAACCTGCCTCCACTAGACCCCAGAGACAGAGACAGAGAGGGAAAGCACAAGTGAGTGCTGTGTTCCTGTCTGCTCCCCACCTTGCTGTGGGTCCCGGGCAGCCTCCTGGTCTCTCGGACCTCTACATCAATGGTGGAATGGTCCCTTATCCCTCCTGGCCCCGTAGGATGGTAGCAAGGGTTGGGCGTAGGGATGAGTGGAAAGCCAGCATGGAGGCTGCTGCTGGGGGCTTAGTGGTCCCTGGGCTCCTGTTAGGTTCCAGGCCTGTGCACTGCTTACAAGACAATCCGACACGGTGGACTGTACAACAGGCAGCGCTGACAGGACAGACAGGGAGATGGCCCTGCCTAGGAAGGCTTCCTGAAAGAATCAAGTTGTCACACAGGTCATGGGGGTGGGTAGGATTTCTGCCAGAGGGTCTGGAGACCAGGAGGCCCAGCACAAGTAAAAGCACAGAGAAGGGAACCAGCTTGCACAGCAGGAAGTGACCTCAGCCCCCTGGCTGCAGAAGCAGGGTGAGGAGACTGGGGTGGGATCCCAGAAGGCCCCTGCTCCCCTGGGCCAAAGCCCCAGGTCTCACCTACACCCCTCCTGGTCTCAGCTTAAAGCTCCTGGTTTCCACCTGCCCTGGAGCACTTTCCTATGAGTCTTTGCTGGCCAATCACTGTCCAGAGCCATGAGAGCTGCCCCTCTAGGAAGCCCTCCCTCACCCTGGCCAGGTGGATAATTCCTCCCCTGGGAGTAGTTTGTTCAGTCTCAAGGGAAGGAACTATTATTATACCCATTTTACAGAGGAGGAAACTGAGGCTCAGGAACCATCAGTATCGTTCAGGATTGTACAGCTGATGGTGAGTCCAATCTCCATTGAGCTCTTCCATTTCCTCCCTGACCCCTACCCTGTGCCAGCCACCTATCTCCTCAGATCTAGTGCTGGGAGGCTGCTGGCTCTGTAACTATCCCCCTGCTTCACTGAGGAGGAGGCTGAGGCCCAGAGAAGGGCCAGGACTCACCCTCCACCATGTAGCTTAGGATGGCTGAGCAGGTTTTGAAGCAGGAGCAGCTGTCCCCACTCCTCCTGCCACCACTGGAGAAATGCAGACGAGACTGCAGGTGAGTGGGAGGGGAGAGGCCAGGCCTTGGGCCGGGGACCAGGGTGTGGGCAGTTCTGGAAGGCCGGAAAGACAACCAGCGGGGACAGCGAGCCCAGCATGGCCAGACCTGGCGCAGTCAAGAGATGCACGGCGCGTGGCGAGGCAGCAGGCCCGAAATGGTGGCGGGAGGCAGCAGAGGAAGGGGACCCGCCATGGACAGCAGGCGAGCTGAGGGGGCAGAGGGGCAGGTGGGAGGGCTGCTGGAGAGCCGGGAGGCACTGACCGGACTCCCAGGGTTCGGGGCACCACCCCCACCCTCGGCCCTGCCCGGGTTTGGCCCTGGGTACCTGCCCCTTGGGCTTGTGCTGGCAGCGGGGGTCAGGCGACGGTCACGGGCCTCTCCTACCCCGCAGTCAAAGGGGCTGGTCTCCAATGGAAAGTGCACTGGAGACGGCGTGGGTCACGCGGGAAGTCACCCAGTGTGGGCCCGGTGCCCTGGTCCACGTCACACACCCATCCTGCCAGCGCAGGACGGAAGCCTCGAGGCCCTTCCATGTGGCACTGTCGTCAATCAGAGGAGTCACATGGGGGCGGGCAGCAGGGGCCTCGGCGCCTTCCTGAGGTCTCCCCGCCTCCGCCCCGCCCCTCGGGATCCTGCCACGGCTCTTGAAAAACAACCGAGGGAATCGAGTGGAAACACAAATCCGCCACCCAGTCCCTCCGGCTCCCTGGGGCTGACCCCCACCCCGGGGCGCCCAGGCAGGGGGCTCCTGCTCACACAGTTGGCCTTGGGGGGGCCCCAGTGGGCACAAGTCTCAATCCCGGCCTCCCAGCAGCTGGGTCCATCCCCCCTCTGGGTCCCCTAGAGCCAGCCTCACCCTGGGAGGACATGGGCACTGGAGCTTGACTACCCCCAACCTCTAGAGTCTGGCCTCCAGGGCCAGGGAAATTCCAGACTTCACTCTGGCAAAGACTAGCTGTCACCCTGGACAAGCCCCTTCCCCTCTCCAAGCCTCAGTTCCCTCATCTGTAAAATGGGGGTAACGAGCTGCCCAGGGCCACCCCATGGGGCTGGTAGAGGACAAGGAACTAGGGAAGGATAGCACGGGGAAACCGTAGAGTGCGGAGCCACAGGTTGTCACTTTGGTTTTTACAGAGACAACTTGCCTCCCAGGGTCGGGGACTCAGCTCTGCTTGGGGGACATGAATTGCAGATGGCAGGAAGGGGTCCCTGAGGTTACTCACCTATGACCAGCAAGGGTCCCCAGCCTACCCAGCCCACCCAGCCCTGCTCAGCCTCGCCCCGCCAGCACCAGCTGCCCCAAACACCTCCCCCATGGACGGGCTGCTTCCCGGCCTGAAACCCCATCTGAAGAAAACAGAACTTCTCCATGTTCAAGATCAAGACCAGCCGTCTCTCCTCTGTGAAGCTTCCCGATTCCGGGCCGAGGGAGCAGCGCCCACCGCCCCTTGTGCACCCCACAATATGGGACCTGTCCGGTGTGAGCTCCGTGCGGGCAGGGCTCTATCTAATCACGCTGGGTCTCCCGAGCAGATGTGTGAGCAGATGTGTATGTGCGCGCTGGGAGACAAGCCACGGTGACCTGGGGGGGGCACCCCATGCTCCACTCAGGATCCCCCCTCCTGCCCGGTCTCTCCTGGGCATACCTGGCCTCCCCGCTGCCAGACTCAGGGGCTGCTAATCCCCTGTCAGGTGACAGGTATGCATCTCTAGGGTGGACAGGGCAG